TACACCTCAAGGAGTTATTTGAGATAATACAGTATTTCCTTTATATGTCCTATATGTGTTTTAATTATGGTTTTTTTCTGAATAGTTGTCTTGAAGTTATCTTAGTTAAATTAATATATTTTATTATGAGTAAAACCAATTTATAAAGGTATCATATTTGCTAAAGTTTCGAATTCCAGACACACTTATCACCAATATGCTCTTCATCTAATTTAACCTCTATCAAAGCTTTCAAAACGGCTTCTCCAACAATCCTTTCTAAATAACTCGCCCTATCAGGATCGACCCCTTTGTTTGTTTTACGATCCGAGAATGTTAACATGTTGCAGCTGCCCTTATGCTATTTTCTGAATTAAATTTTTTTTGAGTCATTAAAGTGTTTTCACAGGTTTTTGTCTTTTGTTCCTTTTTTAGTTCATTGCTAACTTTGCGATGAGAACGGTATGGAGCGTCAGTGCTACATTTTGCTAAAAAATAAAGCATGAAAGTTTCCATTTCCAATGAACCCACTTCCGGATATTTAATACAAATAGATTTGATCAGTTCTTTATTATAATCCACAAAATTTTCGTCAAGTCTACCTTGCGAAGAATAAAAACTATCGGTTGTCTCATTTAAACCTTGAAATACTTGGCTATTGGAGATTCCTGAATTTATTAATTGTTTTCGAATCTTTAAAGAATAAGAAGATTATGATTTTTATTAAAGATTATAATAATAGTTATACATTTTTTACAAAAAACGTAATTACCAAATTGCAAATGTCTTTGTCATCATAGATTACTTCGGATATGCTGTACGGCTGTTCTTTCATTCTTATTTCATAGTCTTGATTATTTCTTTCACAATCTTGAATTATAGTCTCCTTACTTTCAAAGGTTAGATAATCATAATTCCTTGTGACCAAAAAAGAACCTTCTGCTATGATTACATCGCCACCAGTAGCCTTACCGATAGCACCACATGTTTCAAGCCTTATTATAATCATGGGACCATCTATTATCGATCTGGCTTCACGAACAAAAAAGTCCATCATTGGTAAACCCTTTTTTTTTTTTTTTAATAATATAGTAACTATTACTACTATTATTATTATTAAAGAAATTACTGCGTCATTAGTAAAAATTGGTTTAAAAATTTACCATCCTAATTCCAGCAATGCTAACAGGAACTCCCTTATACTTTCCGGTGATTGTTAAAAACCCTCGACGACTTTTTAGTTTAAATATCGGTGTGTCAGCGTCCAACCACCTTAAAAATAATTTTGCTCTACTCAAATCACCCACAGCTATTATTCTATTTGCAACTTTTTTTTTTAAAAAAAAAAACAACTGTTTTAGCAATAAAAGTAATGAGCTGAGATCATCGTAAGGTAAATTTATGTAAAATTATGTACTTTCGCCTGGTTTAAGCCCAATATGAAAAACTCGACCTTCAGCGGATTTTGGAAAATTATCATTTAAGAATTTCTTCTCCATATATTTATATATTTATTTTATTTTTTATTTACTTTAGAAAAAAAGATAAATTTGTGAAATGATTTATTTCCAAGAAAATTATTTTAAAAAAACGATCTAAATTCTTTTAACATGAAACATATATACAGTAAAATCTGAGTGCTCCCTCTACAAGTGCACACCCTCCTAAATGCGTAGTGGTAATCACAGGAAGACTTACTTATAATGGCACTAGATTACAAGTATAAATCGAGTTAATTAAAGGTACAAGCCTAGAAGTCCCTTCTGCAAGATATACAAGGTGGGTTTTTATATTCACAGGTAGAACAGTAAACCTTTTTAACAAGTATTCTTTCAAAAATCTTCGGTGTGATATCAACCTTTCTGAATATCTACTAAATATTTTCTAACCTTTTATATTACATGTGAAAGAGATATGGAAAGAATTTCGATAATAAAGAAAATAATGAACGCTTTGTCACTTCATTGACAAGCTACTCAAGTGTACATAAATACTTTATTAAATCGATAATTTAGGAAATATTTGATTTCAGCTTTATGGAAGTTGATAGTTTAAGAAATATTTAATTTCAATGTGCTACTTAATTATGCACGGAGCAGACCATCTCTCCAGAGTTAATGTAACGTATAATTAAGCAGGTACAGTTAAGTAGCACACTTGAAATCAAGCATTTCTTAAATTATCGATTTCAATAAGGTATTTATGTACACACTTTATTGATTCCAATAATTTAGGAAATAATTTACATGACTGATCCTACACCCGGTGTGCAACATATAAAAAATTATTTTACAATACCAGATCATTCCGCTAGACATGTTATAAATATAATCCAACACAATTTTATTATAATAAAATGATGTTGGATTATATTAAAAACATGTACTAGCGGTATTGTAAAATAATTTTTTTATATATTGCACACCGGGTGTAGGATCAGTCGTGTAGTATCAACGTTTCCTCCTGTTCGCTGGTACCCAAGCTATTTACGGCATTTTGTCGTAACACTCACCCAGATGTATTCTATAGCCATAGGAAGACTTTCATATGATTGGCTGTTTAAATCAATTTAATTTTATATTATTTATACAGTTTAAAGTGCTTTTTAGAAAAAAATTAAAACTAAGAATAAACAAAAAAGAAGTATATAGAAAGTTTTATTAGGGTCGTAGGACTCCAGAATTAAAAATAATCAAAATCATTTCTGGTTTTTAGAGAAGTTAGCTAATAATCTAATTTTATCTATCTTTAAGAAGTTTTTATTATGCTAACTTCTCTAAAACCATAAATGATTTTGATTATTTTTAATACTGGAGTCCTATAAAATTTTATATATACTTCTTTTTTGTTTATTCTTCGTAGTTTTATTTTTTTAAGAAGCACTTTAAACTGTATAAATAATGTAAAATTAAATTGATTTAAACAGCCAATCATACGAAAGTCTTCCTATGGATTCGATAAGTCTGACGAATAAAGGACCGACGAACTTCGTGATGAAATAACATTGATTTTGAAAAAATTTAAGATTCAAAATGTCCAGAGGTCTTTATTTAAAGTTGAATGTTGGACAACTGCAATTTTATATTTCGTTGGTCAAATTAATTTTGTCAAGAGTTTCGTCAGAAGAAACCATTGACGAAACCATTTCGTCAGTGCAAAATAGTTTTGTCAGGCATAATGTTGTTAGACAAAACCCAAGGGTTTTATTACTGACAAAAGTCGAAACTAGGTTTTGTCTTTTGTCAAAAAATTTTTAAAATGACAAAATGGCAAAAGGTGACAAAACTGACAAAAGGCGACAAAACTGGCAAAAGGTAACAAAACTGTCAAAAGGTAACAAAACTGATAAAAGGCAAAAAAATGACTAAAGATAACAAAATTAATAAAAAAATAATAAATAAAATTAATAAAATTAAAAATATATTTAATATTTCTATAAAGTATAAATTAACATAAATAAATTGTCTTTAATAATATATAGCCTTAAATATTATAAAATAAATATCTAACATTACTTATAATTATAAAGTAAAAATGAATATAACACCGGGGGATATTGATATCCACCCCCCAATTTTATTATGAAAAATAGTTTTTTGCTAAAATTTAGGGTTAGAGTGCAG